TCCATGCATCTAGGTTTTGCTTTATAGATGTGGAAAATCACATCTATATATGACAGTAATCTGTTTGCTTAAAATACATATTTGAGTTTTCTCCTGAGATCATGATAATTTATCATATGTTATCCTCTTGAAATGCACAAACATGGTAAATACATTAATAGTTTGTTTCTAAATTTAAGTATTCTTCAAGAGTTTTACTGCCAATTCAGTTGCCATTGCCTCAGAGGAACCAAAATTCTCCAATTGTAATTAATAAAAAATATTGTCCAGGAAATATAATAACTCAAGACAGGTAGTCTAATTTGGCAATACCACTGCTTATTAAAAACTAGTTATCTTGACAATATAACTTATAATTACTCTGAAACAAAAGCAAGAAAAATAAATGGAATAGAATAAAATAATTAATAAATTTTATACTTATATTATTCATTTAAGTATCACTGGATTATTCACAGACCAATTCACTATGCAAAATAATCATTAAATTTAACATCACTGACATTTTGTCAACTTGCAGCGTCATAAAAGCATATGTACAAGGGGGATAGGATGGGGTGGAATGGGTCATTGGGGAGAAAAAGGGACATCTGTAATATTTTAAACAAAAATAAAAATTTTAAAAAAGCATATGTACACATTTTTATAACTTTTTATCTTATGAAGGTAGGAGAGTTATTAGTTTTTGCTGCTGCAAAAACTTATCACAAACTCAGTAGTTTAAAAAACACAAATGTACTACCAAACACTTCTGAAGTTCTGGAGTCCAAAGTCGGTCAGCAGCGCTGCATTCCCTCTGACGGTTCCAGGGGAGAATCTATTTCCTTGCTTTTTCCATCTGCTAGTAGTTGCCATTCCTAGCTCATGGCACAAACTACTCCAAATTTTGCTTGTTGTCACATCCCCTTCTCTGACTCTTCTGGTTCCCTCTTATAAGAATTCTTATGATTTCATTTGACTGGATTATCCAGGATAACCTCCCACCTCAAGGTCTTTATTTGAACCATACCAGCAAAGTCCCTCTATCATGTAAGGTGACATATTCCTGGGTCCCAGGTATTGTGGGGGCTGTTATTCTGCCTACACAGAAGACATTTTTTTAGCTGGCTCTGCAAATTATAAATGTAAATATATGTTGTGTGGACCTCCAATTTGTACTCTCACTGCAACCTCCATAAATTGTGGTAGTGGGCCTGATGTCCCCACAAAAACAATAGCCTAGATAATAGGAGGGTCTTGAGACAGTAAATTAGAATTTGGACTGTGGGAGTCAGGCATGGAAGAGAGAATTCTTCATCTCTCATGGCTTAGTCTCCAACGTCTGAGACACGCTTAGAGATGCTTCTGAATTCCAAAGCTGGAAAATGTTCAGTGTCCTGTGGAGGTGGCCCTAAGATCCACTGCAAACAGGGGGCTATGGACTGATATTGACCAAACTACAATTTTTTTTTTTAACATCTTCTATGAGTCAAGCACTTTGCCAATTGCTTGAATTTCATCATCTTACTTAATTTTTACAACAGCTTTAAAAGGTGGGTATCATTATGATCATTATTTAACAGATGCAGAGCCTTCATATCAACATGACTAAGTGACAAGCTAGATTCTAAGTCTAGTTCGTCTGACTATGAAATTGGTGCTTTTAGCCACTATAATACATTTCCATATTTTATGAATCACTGTATCTAATTACACATTAGTCTAAAAATTCATTTTCCTTTTGTTATGGACAAGCCATTTGGAAAGTTACATGTTCCAACTGTGCCATGGCGATTAAGGGTTTACTTGGCTTCTGTGTTGAATGGGGGAGCACTCCCTGAGGGTAGCAGGATGACCAGCAAGAAAATTCCTCACACAGTGATTCTCACACTTTAGCATCACCTGAGAAAGTGATTCTCAAACTTCAGAATCACTTGGAAGGTTTATTAAAACAAAGATTGCAGCCCCCACACCCAGAGTTTCTAATTTAATAGGTCAGGGGTGAAGCCAATAATTTTATTATTGGTCTGGGGTGGAGCCAATAATTTTAATTTTAACAAGTTGTCTAGTGATGCTAATACTCTGGCTTCGAGACCACCCTTTGGGAAGGCCATCCTAAGGAAAGGTGTTCCCCTGGGAAAGGAGAACCTCAGCAGAAAAGAATGAATCCACAGGTTTCTGCCATGGTTTTCCCCACGGAGAACCTTGGAGAATCAGCGTCTGCTTCTTCACAGTGAAGCCCAACCAAACTTAGAATTAACGCTGGCATTTTGATAGTTAATAAGAAAATGAGGAGGGGATTCTAAAGCAAGTGGAGGGAAGAATCTCAGACCAGAACAAGGGATTTATGCCTGGGGAAGTGGAATGCAAAGTGAAAGACAACTTCAGTGCAGACTTTGGAGAGGTTCATTGAAAGCAAGCATAATGCCTTATTTTTGTGTGGCTTTTCACAGTTTTCAAAGCACTTTAGCAAACTTCACCATTCTTCAAGCGTTTACATGGCACAGACTGCTCATTCTGCAAATCAAATATCTGATACGGGGTGAATGTTTAAAATATATAAAGAACCCATGCAACCCAACAGCAAAAAACCAAACACTCCAATTTAAAAATTGGCAGAGGATATGAATAGACATTTTTGCAAAAAACACATACGGATGGCCAACAGGTACATGAAAAGGCGCTCAACATCACTCATCATCAAAGAAGTGAAAACCAAAAGCACAATAACATACTACCTCACACCTGATAGACTGGCTGTTAACAAAAAGACAAGACATAACAAGTGCTGACGAGGATGCGTCACAAAGGGAACCCTTGGGCGGTTGGCGGGAATGTAAATCGGTGCAGTCACTATGAAAACAGCATGAAGTTTCCTCGATTTTTTTTTTTTAAATTTAAAACTAGAGCTGCCATGTGATCCAGCAGCTCCACTTCTGGGAATTTATCCAAAGGAAACAAAAATGCTAACTCGGGAAGCCGTACGCGCCCCACGCTCATCGCAGCACTCTCTATAACCGCCGAGATGAGAGGAAGCCGAGTGCCCGCCGACCACCGACCAATGAAGAAAGAACAGTTGGCGCGGGAGCTGGGAGCAGGCAAGCTGCTGAAGAGAGTCCGAAGCTACAAACTTCCCGTTTACAAGAAAGAAGTCCAGGGAATGTAATGTACAGCACGGCTACAGTTAATAATACCATAGCCCATATTTGGAAGTGGCTAAGAGAGTAAATCTAAATGTTCTCATCACAAGAAAAAAAATTCTGTAACTACGTGTGGTGATGGATGTTAGCTAGACTGACTGACTGTGGCGATCATTCGCAGTGTATACAAATAGTGAGTCATTATAGTGAATACTTGAAACAAACATAATGCATCAATTATACCTCAATTTTTTAAAATGAATAATTTTTCTCTTATGAAATCCTATACACCAATGATTATACTTCGGTTAGAGACATTTTTGTTTGTTTTTGCTTTACCTTAAGGAATAATGCCCACCTCACAAAGTTGTTACGGAGTTAATTTTAAATAAAATGGGGGATGGAAAGGACATTACATACTATAATGTGTTATAATAAGAATATTATCTATATTGTAAAGTATTACACCTGTTATTAGAATCCTATAGGCAAGATCCTATCTTAAGCACCTTCTATATAAAACCTGTACTTCTAATATTCTAATGTAATTTTAACCTCATTGATCCCAGAATATATAAGCAATGATGCGTGGAGGGGATGATGTATGATTATAAATATCCATTGTCCGTTATCTCAAACACCTGAGATGGGGAGCCGGGGGAGGAGGGGTGCTTTGTGAATTGCTGACTTGTAGATTGCAATGCTTGATGCACAAGTCAGAAATGCCATTTCTGTAGTCAAAAGATCTCAGTGGGCGGTAAAAAGTAAATGCTGAACAGATGTGTGTGTCATCAATTTCCCATCCTGACACCAGCTTTTGTTGAATCAATGGCATTTGTGCAAAGCATCTGTGGGATTTTGATCTTTAAAACAGGGCTTTAGGATCTGTCGTTGAGAGGCAGTCCAAAAGTATAAAATATTTTTATTGAAAACTTCATCAGGCCGTAAACTTGTGACAGACTGTGGGAGCAATAAAGTGCATCTCATGTTTCTGAGCCACCACCTCAGAGGACTGACCCCTTTCCCCTTTGTGATAATGAGGACAGTTGAAATTGCTTCCAGTCTTGCAGAAAGCATCAGGGAAATTGGCTCCACTGTCCCCAACAGGGGTGAAAGTTGGGACAGTGAACACTAAGGACATCACACCTAAGTTAATAGATGCCCAAATAGAATCATCATGTCCGCACTGAGACATTTAGAGAAGCAAAGCACAGCCCTCAGGCAGATGGAGGTGGGAGACAAGCAAACTGATATTTATAATTTTCTTTGAGGAAATAACAAAGGAGAAGCCAGAAGTGTTTCTTATGAAAAAGCACACCATCAGGAAGACCCTGAAACAAGACTCTCTACCTTCTTTATTATCTCTGTGCCTCTTCCTATCCAACTGAAAATGTGGCCGACCGTAGTTCTATTGTATCATTAAGATGTGCGCATTCTCAAAGCAGGGCCGTTATCTAACGTGGGGAAGTTCAATCCCCCAACAGGTTAGTTGGCTTGGCATAGACAAAAATAATGCCCGCATACAAAAATGCATGCTTGGGGAGCTGGACGGTACATGCTTTTGGCTGAAAGGAGAGCAGATGGCCCACTGCCCCTTACTCTCGGCAGCTGACCTAACCTACTTCAGTGAGAAAAATCTAGGCCTCAGTTCTCAAAATGTCATCCCAGGTCAATTCCATAAGCATCACCTAAAATCATGTGAGAACCACAGACTTTCAGGCCCT